TTAAGTATTGTGATAATATCGTATCGTGAGTTGTATGGTGATTCCCACCTCTACTGAAAATGTGCAGAAAAGTGCAACTGAAGACTAACCCCAGCCTGCAAAGCAGCAATGACCTGACAGATGAAAAGAGGTTAAATATATAATCCATGCAAGATTTTATTTCTTACAAAATAAATATGTTGGATGTGGAATGAAACAGAAAGTATGAAAAAATGAAGTATTTGCAAATAAAGACAAGAAGTTTGCTAAAGACTGAAGATTGAAGGGAAAACAGGCGCATAAACATTCAACCGTTTCAAACTATCCGCTTACATTGAACTAATACTTTGGAACAATGCCACAGAATGTCTGAAAAAGCATTTAAAGACAGGAGTTTTCTTCTTTCAACTGTTGAAAGTGTTTCAGATCATTTTGACAAACCTATTTTTTTGCCTTAGCATTGCGTTCGCCTAACAGAGAAGCAGCTGTTCCCCTGAGCTTCAGCACAAGTAGTACAATAAGGACCTTCATCACTCTTCTTCTGCAAGGCTGCCTGGCCTCTGGAGAATAGATGACTGAATGAGATAGTGCAGCTAAGATCTCAGTGGTTTACCTGGTCTATGATAATAAGCATGAACCTTCATGGGCCATTGATTTCAGGACCCCTTAGAATCCACCCAGAAACAAGGATGTTAATTTGTGTCAGAAACAGAAGTTTCTTTGGGGAAAGCACATTTTAAAAGAGAAGAGGCAAAGACAGCAAAAGAGAGAGTCTTCCATCTGCAGATCAATCCTTATTGTATGTTATGTGTCAGTGTTGCTCCAGATCCATAAATTTCTGTTTTATAACTCTTGACTCATCCCTCCTGTGGAGACCATATCGTATTATTTAATTAGCATACATGAATTTTTTCTTTGTTCTCCCACCAGAGCTGTCCATCATGTGTGCGTTGCTTGTCAAGTCAAGTGCAAAAGGGAAATTAGGAAGGTGTCTCTTTTTCTCCACAGTTGTAATTTTTCTGTATGCATTTGTGTTTTATGATGTTGTACAGGATGCACTCTAAAGGAAACACTCTAAAGTCTGCTATGTTGCTTTTCTTCTGCAGGTACAATGTGGATACTAGGAGCTCCAATCTTTCCAAACATGTAAGCAGCTTAATATGTCCAATGACCACAGACCACTGGCATGAAGCCCAGAAAAAAATGGAGTTAACCTTATTTAAAAAAAATTGAATCAAGTTTTATTTCAGTGGGTTTCACAAAAGTGGTTTTGCTGATTGTAGTTTGGGTGGTACTACTAAAAAATGCCTCAATATGTTTTTGTTATTATGATAAGTGTGACATTTGTCAGACTGTAAGAACAGGTAAAATACTGCATCACAATGCAAACATTGGACACCTCTCAACATGTCTTGTTGTCTACTTTGCATTAAAATTGTTATATTGATATCGATTGAAACCCATCTTATAAAAAACAAAATTCCTCATCACGCGTCAGATTCAGTTGTGCAGCTGTCATCAATAGCCAGGAAATGGAGCCCTCTATTATTTGCAGGTTGACAGATGTGAACAGGCAGGCATCTCTGTGGACTATACTGTTTACAGATGACACTATGATTTGTAGTTAGCATTGGGAGTAGGTAGAAGAGAGCCTGGAGATGTGTTATTATGCTCTATTGAGAAACAAGAAAGAACACATGTGTAAATAACAGGGAGACACATGTAACAGTGAAGATGCAAGGAGTCGAGGATGTGAAGGTAGCAGACAAGATTAGAAATAATACATCAGAGCTCAGGCTGAGTGGTTTTTAGAGGCAAGGCTTTGGTGAATATAGAAGATGTTGAAGATGGGACTGCCATGCAGAAGGATAGGAGGACCACAGAACAGAAGGCAGACATGCAGAGGGTTGGTGTGCCTGTGATCCGGGTACTGCTGCCTATATGTCAGATATGTAGCAACTGACTGGCACCTTGTCCAAGGTACATGCTACCAGTGTCAGTGTGGTCCGGCTCCACTCCAGCTGTAGTTTTACCTGAATTCAACATCAAACAAAGTTTAGTACAGTATCTACTAAAGTATCTACAGAAAGCATAAATCAAACCATTATTTTTTAATTTGCATCCTACAGTAATGATTCATAAAAGCATTACTTTAAGCTCAGTGCACTGCAGCTCTGACTGGTCTTCATCTTTCTTAAATTTGGAAGAAAAATGAATTTATTTGTGAACTTGAGGTCTTTTCATTGTGTCTTTCCAGCTTCTCTAACATGTGTCTGCCTTTCCTTACTGCCTCCCCTCCTGGATAAACAGAAGGTAAGCTATCATTATGTTCTGTACTCCCTGCTTACTGCACCATTTCTTTAAGTGATGTGGACCCTAGCTCAAACCATAATCCTAAAGCATTTTTTGGAGAAAAGCAAAAAGAACCCAAATCTATATAAATAATATTTTGATTTATCTCAGAATTATTTTTTGCCAAAACGAAGACTACAATGAAATCTTCTGATAGTATAGAGTTAACCTCTAAGCAACGTGTTAAGCATACAGCAAACTGACCTTTCAGTGTGTTTCTGTAACTGCATCGCTAATTCCAACAGAAATGAATGAAGTCGCACTGAGATTACAGAGATTACAAATGTAGTCTGAAAATCCTGTAAGAGAATGTTTCAATTTCAATTTTAAATTTCAATTTCTTTATTGTCCCACAAGGGGAAACTAGTTTAGCAGCAGGATATAAATAAACAGAACAATACTATAAAATAATAATGACAATAATAGTGATAGAAAGTCCTAGGACAGTTATTTGCCATTGAGGAGACAAGATGCAGTGGGGATAAAAGAGACCTGGAGTCCTTTAGTCCTCCTCGGTGGTACTCTAAAACGGCGGCCAGAAGGCAACAACTCAAACTCACTGTGAAGTGGATGGTTCACACAGTTAATAATAGAATGAGTCTTTCTAAGCACATTTCTATTGTAAATGGCCAAAAGTCCATCTTGCCAGTGCCCTGAAATTTTGCTAGCAGTTTTTACCAGAAGTCCCAACCGATTCTTATTCTTCACCAAACCAGGCAGCGATACAAAAAGACATCACAGATTCGATAAAACTTCTATAAAACAAAGACAACATCTCAGATGAGACATTAAAAGATCTCATTTTCCTTAAAAAGAACAGTCTTTGTTGAACTTTTTTAGTAGTGGCATCAGCATGAGATTCAAAACACAGTTTATAGTCAAGTACCACACCTAGATATTTATAACTCTCAGCAATCACAATATCGGCAGTTTTAATGATAGTGGGTGATGAGCTATAAGAGGACTTAAAGAGGACCTAAAACCAATAATCATGTCTTTAGTTTTTGACACATTAAGTGAAAGGATGGACTCATCACACCAATTCACAAAATCATCTACAACCTGAATGTGGCTTCATCTGTGCCTTTTTATGACAGCTTACCAAAATACCTATGGTGTATTATTTTGACTGCAAAAAACGTTGCTTAAAGCAGAACAATTTAATTACCAAAGCTCAATTCAATGAAGTATAAAATATGGACAAAATGCAAAGCAATTAGACAGTTTCAGTAACTAGGTGCTAACTAGCTGCTGTGTTAGTCCTGAGCAGTCTGCTGTAATCAATCAACGTCTAGACAGCTCATTACTATTGCATCTTCAATTAATGTTTACAAAAGAATTTCCGATTACTTCTTTATTTTAAATCCAAGTAACCCAAATTGAAATCATATATCACATGGTAGCTGTAACTTTGTTAACCTATCAACAGCCACATTTTAGAAATTAGCCAACGTGCAGCAAACAGGGACTGAGTGCAGTGAATTAACTATGATGATTTACTCTGTAAAGGACTTCCTGGGTCAGATGTTCTGCACATTAGGTGAGATCATTGGTTCACCTGGCGGCAGGCTGGAAAGGACTCTTTCGTAAGTACACCATACACACAGCGTCACCCATACAGTAGTTGTCTTTGAAGCTGGTTTAGGACACTATCCTTAATGTCAACATCTTCTTTAGTCCTATTTACAGCCTGATTAACAAATACAAACAGTTCAGAGGCGACATCTCAGCCATAAGCATTTCAAACATTTAACTGGGTTGAGATCAGAGATCTGACTTTGACCGTGCCACTACAACCCTGTGATTGTTTTTGTTTTCAGTCATTGTGTTGTAGCTTTTCTGGTGTGCTTGTGGTCATTGTGATGTTGTATGACCCACCTTGGAAAGCTTTATCAATCAGACAGCTGGCCTCACCTTTGACTGGAATACTGTAGTGTGCAGGGGAGTTAACGGTCGAGGGGTGGCTGTGGCTCAGGTGGCAGATCAGCTACTGATTGGAAGGTTGGTGGTTCGATCCTTGGCTTCCCCAGTCTGCATGTCAAATATCCTTGGGCAAGGTACTAACCCCAAGTTGCCCTCCAATGCGTTCATCAGAGTGTGAGTGTAGTTTAGTTTGCACTTGTGTTTAGAAGTGCTTGTATGAGTGGGTGTGAATGGGTGAATGAGGCATGTTGTATACAGCGCTTTGAGTACTCTGGGAGAGTAGAAAAGCGCTGTGTAAGGCTACGTCCACATGTACCCGGGTATTTTTGAAAACGTAGATTTTTCTATGCGTTTGCACCTTTCGTCCACAGTAAACGACGTTTTCGGTCACTGAAAACGGAGATTTTTAAAAACTCCGGCCAGGGTGGATATTTTCTAAAACTCAGTTTTTGCATTTACGTGTGGACGAGAAAAACGGAGAAAACGCAGTGTCAAAGGTGTGCGCCTTTTTTGACGTCACACTGTGCGCCACGTTATTGTTTCGGTGAAATGAATTTCTACAATACTGTTACTGTTAATTGTCTCTGCATTGTTTAAATGCTTACATATACACACACAGTTACTGTCCCTCCACACATACGACTCTGTTCTGCTTCTATGCCACAGCTTTGTTTACTTTTTCCCACCGAGGCTTCTAGACTTCCGATTGGGCAACATTTCTGCACGGTTAGGAATATATCGCCACCTGCTGCTTTGGCATGTTCCTAGCAGCGTTTTCCTTCATTTCTGCCTTTACGTGTGGACGGGATTATTTTTTAAAACGAAAACGGAAAATCTCAGTTTTCAAAAATACCCATGTACGTGTGGACATAGCCTAAGACTCAGCCCATTAGCCCTCCACCACCATGCTTCACAGTAGTCATGAGGTATTTTTGCTCATATCCTATGGTTGAAAAAGTGCATTATGGCCAAACAGCTCCACTTGTCTGTCCGAAGGAAATTGGTCCAGAAGTCTTCTGGTTTATTTAGATGATTGATACTACAAATGTTTGGTTTTTTGGTTGATTTTTTGTTGTTGCATGGTTTGAATGGGTTACGACTCCTACAAATATTGTGCCATTGTGTTAACACACACCTGAATACTCCAGAAGACTGCCTAAAACTTGCTGATGATCCCGTTTAATTAAGGACTTAATTTTTCTCAGGACTGCATAAAATGTTGAAAAAGAAAAACATTTTCTTTTTCACTCTATTGTGAATCACCTGAACGAGACTCACCTCCTTACTTAGGCAAGTATAACTTGAGCCAACAGATAAAATGCTAACTATGTGTTTGTCTAAAGGTGTTGCATTATGGCACAGCAGTTAGTACTGGTGAAAGAATACATACAACTGTAATGCACTTTGGGTGAAATTCAGAGGCTGACCTGTCTACCTTTGATGGATCCATCGTCACCTCAGCTCAGGACGGCACATCTGATGAAGCTGCAGTTAGTGCTCTCCAACCTTGGAGAGAGCAGAAAAGCAAGTGGAGCGTTTGCCCGAGGCTGAGAACATAAAACAAGATGAGGTTCCTATTTCACCTAGCGTCCTGTTTATGTGCTTTTAGAGCCTGTGGCCTTCCATATGTTCTGCGTATAATTAGATGGTCACCATAACTAACTGAGTAGCAAACTGTTCAGGTTCAAACCATGATGGTAAAAGTAGGTCATTTGCTTTATTGCACATATGAATGAAGTGAAATTAAAACTTAAATGATGCAGTATGTCATGTGTCTTGTAGAGATATACAATTAGTTAAAAAGAAAGAAGCTACCACTAAATGAAAATTGTGTTGATTGTGCGCCACACTGTAGTTCCTCTTTGTTGAAGCCTGAAGGAGCATTTCCTAGTTCAGGCAGCTTGTCAATGAGTGGAGGAAAGGCTCTGATACCCGTGGATTCCAGTGCATCATTGTGTGTGTAGAACTGCTGGCCTGATCCTATCACCTGAAGCCTTATAAGGGACGTGGGTTGTGTTCTTAAGAGTCAAAGTGTGCAGAGAGATTATTGATTACAGGAAGCTACAACATGGATTGAAGTCCCACTCACTTGGTAAAAAGCAACATATGTATGAAGGCAACAGAAATATTTGATGAACACTGATGTTCATGGTCTAGATAAATGCCAGCACAGTAAAAATTCAAATTTAGTGACAGTCTGACATTTACTGAATGTAATGATGCGACTGAGAAATTTAATCTTTGTGCATTTCAGTTGGCTTAGCAAAAAACCTGGGTGAAATAGTAGGGGTGGGTAAATCAACCTTCCAATATCTCTACAATGTGTTATTTAATTATATTTTAACTAGTAACCCTCAA